TATCTGAATTGGTACCCACAAGACTGGGTTACACAATCTGTTAAAGAGAATAAGACCTGGTGTGTACCTTCACTGTGTTAACAGTTCAGTGGAAAAATAGATATGTGTACGTCAATAATTATGTAATAAAAAGCCTAATGGCCAACTGTATCATGGAAACACTGAACAGTAAAAAAATAATATCAATATTTATAACAATGATTATTTCATTATATCAAGTTCATTTAATCCTTACAAAGTTTATTAAAGAGTGCTAATAATATCTTTCTTTCACAAAGGAGGAAGAAGCTAAAGTGAAAATAACTTGTGCGTAGTATCACACGAGATAAGACAAAATTTGTGTATATGTAGATGGAGTCTGTCTTCTTCAACACTGCATGCATTATTTTTCTTATGACCAGTTATGTAACTAGCTATGCATGGGGGGCTTTTTGTTTTGTTTTGTTTTGGTTTTGGTTTTTTGAGATAGGGTCTCACTATGTAGTTGAGACTGACCTGGAGCTCACTATGTAGCCTAGGCAGGTCTTGAACTCACAGTAATCCTCCTGCCTCAGCCTCCCGAGTGCTGGGATTACAGGCGTGCACCACCACGCCCAGCGCATGGTATGTTCTTGAAATGAGTACTTTTTAAAAGGCTTGGGGGGGTGGGGTGGAAGAATTCCCTGTATTAAAGATGCAAAGTCCAATGAGATGTTCAGAGAGCTGCACTAAGTTCAGATCAGCTGCACTACGCACACTGTGGAGTGCTGTGGTTGCTACACAGGGAGTTTGAGTTGTTCAGTAGTCGGTAAATAACACGTGGTACACTAAACAAGATGTGTGGGTGATTCCTGTGGTTCCGTATATTTTAAAAATATTTCAAAGGCAGTAGAGAATGGCTTTGAGGAGGGTTATACTAGAGCTAGTTAAAAGATGGTTTAGTAAGATAGAAATGATGACTAAATGAATTCAATCAGTGGAAAGGAGGAAGGGCTGGGGTGAAGATATAGTTCAGATGTAGAAAGAACAAATTTTACTGACTGATTTGTCTGAAAGATCTAGGAGGAGAACTTGAGAACCCAGAGAACTTGAGATTATAGCCTAAGTGGCTTTTGAGTAAAAGTTTTTAAAGGAAAAATGCTTTGATATATGTTTACATGCCTTTCATTTGAATGTGAATCATTTACACTGTGATGTGGTGCTGAGCACAAGAGCCTCCATTTGGGAAATGCAGCGACATCTAATAGCTGCTAGCATCACGGAGTAGAGCTCTGCAGCTAGTTGTGAACTGGAAGTATAGCATGTAAGTCTTCAGCTCCTAAAGTGAAAGAAGCAGATGGGATCAGCTAGAAATAACACTGGGAAAACATTAAGGCTTAAGGAACAATGATCAAAAAGGTGGAGAACAGGAGGCATCGGAAGAGAAAACTGAAAGGCAGTGAATGGGTAGCACGAAGGAGCACCAAGAAATGGAGTCATGAGTTCCAAGAGTTAAGGAACTTTCAAAACAGTATAAATGGTAACGACAAAAAGCCAAATAGGGAAGGTTTCAAATATATAAGGATTAAAAGCTTCAGTTTCAAGCATCAGTCAGTACTGGACAATACTTACTGCCTGAACATGGTGCTGGTCCAAATTCACCTTCTACTCTTCAGTTTAGGAGATAAAACTCCAATTTTTTTCTCCTTTAGGTTTTTAATAAATAAGGATGAGTAACTGGAAAATGATGTCCTTAGAGAATTTTAAAGTGTGCACTAGTCAACGTCTGACTAAAGCAACATATTCTCTAACTCCAATTCTCCCCTTCCAGTTAATTGCTTTTGCCTTGGTGTGGCTGATGAGTCAAGCATGTTTCTGTTTTCCATTTCCTTGTCTTTCTGCTAATGGTAGCTCCAGTCCTTCTAGGACAAAAATTTCAGAGCTTTTGTTTCTCCCTCTTTTGCCATCCAAGGTAATATCTAGTTAGTTATTAGAAGATATCCAAGCTCAAGATATCGTTTTTAAAAGTCTTGTCTATCCATGCAAGCAAGGTTTGACTCTTCCTAACACCCGGAAGTTCTCTGGTTGCTTACTGGATAAGTAGATAAAATCTTTTAATGTTAATTTTTATTACTATAATGGAAAACAAAGAAGAACCAAGACTGGACCTGTTTTTATTTACTACTTCCTGTTGATACAAAGCTACATTTAAGGACATAAGAATTCATGTCTGGTATACAGGATGTATTTATATTGTTTGACCATGCAGGTTTTCCAGCATATTGTTTGTGATGGTGACCTTTTGGTCCAGGTATTCTCCCTTCTCTTCTGCTCCACCTACTTATGGTTACAGATATGTTTATAGACCTACCACTATTCCTGAACAGCTTGATGCTGGGTTTCCACTGAGGAGACTGGATTGGGACCCCAACACTGGAGCAGCAGAGAGAACTCTAGGATGTGTCTCGGTGCACAAGCAGAGACTTTATTGTCCAGAACAAGGATTTAATGGGACTGGTGATTTAATAAGACATCTCAAGGGTTTTTGGACTGGTCACTCGAATATTTCATGGACTTAAACTTGTCTGTAGGACTTTGGTGAGCAGATTCACGTTTTCCTCAAACCAACATTTGGAAACCTGCTGCTTCATTGGGAGAAATATGCTTATTGTTAGATGTCAAAGTTACTAGCCTTAGTTTGAATTTTTTTGGCATGGGGCCTCTAATATGTGAAATATCATAAATACTGTGTTATCTCAAATCAAGTTTATATACAGAGCAAAACATTACATGTGCTCATGGCCCTTAAGGAAGGGTCCTCCGAAAATTTGGGCATTTACCTCACTCAGATAAAAAGAGCTTCAATGAGGGTCCGGAAAGTCAAAGATGGGTAAGAGGAAAAGGTTTGACTGATCAACCTAAGACAGGGGCTTCTGTTAAATCTTCATCATGTTATAGGCCTGTAAGACAGATGACCCCAATGATGGGTAAGACAGCCAAATGCTTTTCCCAACCTAAGACAGGCTCGGACATGCCTATACTTTCTCTTAAGCGTCTTCTTGCTATGGAACCAAAGTTTTAAAACAAAAAGGGAGGAATTGTGGGGATCATGAGTATTGGCTGTAAGTACTGTTAACTTTAGTAACTCTATATGTGTTAAGTTTCTCCAGTTTAGCAGGTAGAGTGTTTCCTTTGTGGAATTCCTGAAAGTTACAGTTTCTTGTCTCTGACCTTTAGATGTGTGGTTGTCCGGGTTACTACTACTCACGGTGGGTTGTTTTGGTGAACCTGTTTGCTCTTTTCCTGTGTGACCTTTCAGTTACTATGGTAAACCCATCCCATAATAGTTTGTGGTTTTTTGCTTTAAAAGGCCGGTGCTTACCGGCAATAAACGTCGCCTTGATCAGACTCTTGTCTTGGCGTTCTTCCTTTCTCTCTGCCCCATCTCCACCCTGCTGCTCTTTCAGGTTTGAGGCACTGCTGGACAGTGCTCTGCGTCGCCGGCTCGCGACAACTAGTATGTTCCCAATCCTTAGTGGAGTGCTCAGAACCCAAAATTTTTAGATGTTATTTGGTTAGCGCAGGAATGAATTGAATGAACCAAATGAAAATTACTAGACTTCTACCCTAGTCTACTGTCCATGATTACTCTAGGGAAAGGCAGACCTTGGCTTCTTCAGGAAGACTTAGTGTTGTTCATTGCCTTTTAGGTCTGTTCTATAGCACTGTGCCTGGCACATTCACTGGGTGCTTGCTGCAGGAATAAATAAATGAGTGGCAGACTGACAAAAATCAGAAGCAATTATTACAACACTTTCAACACCCACAGATTTTTCATTGCAGGCCACTGACCAAATAGAAAAATAGAATTAAACTAATTGCACCCTATATATTGATTGATATTCAGTGAGGCCTTCAACATGGTTTAATCTTTAATGAGACTGAAAGACAGACAACTGAATGAAAGCCAGGGGGAAAATCCAGCAGAAAGCACTGCTAAAAGAAAGCAAGAAAGCAACCAGCCAACAATCACTGTCGGTTGCAGGACAGCCAAAGCAAAACAAACAAATAAGTAAATAAACAAATAAAAAGTGAAATAAGTGAGAGGAAAAAGTTTCAACTAAAAATATTTAGAACTCATATGGAATTTTCAGAGGCCAGACCACATAGTTTAACAGTCTTATGTTTCAGAAGAGGAATTTGAAACTAAGTAATATTTTTCAAATTTCCATAAGCTAATTTCAATGAAAAATGAAGATATAATCACTTGGGTTACTACCCTGATTTCTGACCATTAACATTGTGCTGACCACAAGAAGGAAAGAGGAGAGCATTCTCAATACAGAATCAAACCTGGGAACACACTAGTAATTATTGCAAGCTAGATTCTATGGTGACTTGCACAGGCAATACTCTCGTCTGGGAGAAACACAGATAATTCCCCAAGCTTAATTTTATCTGTTAATAAAATTTGAATTCTTTGTGCTGTCTCATTTTGGGCAGGGGCCTAGGAGAAGGAAAGAGAGACAGAGGGTGAGGGAGAAGGAAGAGCTTAATGTTGGCAGATAGGAGAATCTTTTATGGGAAGAAAATCATTACAAAATTACAATGGTAAAACATGTGGCTTAACATCTTGGTTAAAAAATGTTACACAAGGGCTGGGGATTTAGCTCAGTGGTTTCACCACCTGCCTTGCAAGCACAAAGTCCTGAGTTTGAGTCCAGGTATCCCCCCCCCCAAAAAAAAACTTAATGTTGGCATAGGAGAATCTTTTATGGGAAGAAAATCATTACAAAATTACAATGGTAAAACATGTGGCTTAACATCTTGGTTAAAAAATGTTACACAAGGGCTGGGGATTTAGCTCAGTGGTTTCACCACCTGCCTTGTGAGCACAAAGTCCTGAGTTTGAGTCCAGGTATCCCCCCCCCCAAAAAAAAAGTCACACAAAGCAAACTGTATTTGAATAGCTTTCTTTGGTACTGATTCAGAGCTCAAAGGTCTCTTGGCAATTTAAAACTGAAAACATACGGTCTACTTACCCATTCTGTATGGCAGCTGTGGGGTCATAGGTCAGAGCCATGCCAGCCTGTACATGAGGAAAGAGGGGAGAAAGATATCTCAACATTTTTACTGAGATACCAAGACTTGTAGTTCAAAGACTTTTATCTTTACTTTCCATGATTTAAGTTTATTTTCTCCTATATATATCTCCACCTTGCTGTCAAAACTAGTGTTTTACCATCCACAAGCTGAAATCCACCAGTGAGTTGGGAGCTTATATAATGGATCCTGACAAACCAAGGAACTGTGTAGTTTGGATGATTTCCATTTCTACATCATAAACCATCCACTGTCTAATTTGGTGTCCTTATAATTTTTCACTATTGTCAAGAACAGCTATTGTGCATCTCATGAATGATAAAATGTAAAAGTGAATCTTGCAGGATAAAAATAAATCTACTTAAAATGTATTAGGGCTTACAGAGGAAAGAGTTAGGAAATATTTATTTCAAATTAGACCCTCATGCCTCAGGGATATAGGTAATGAGTCACCAAGTGCTTCTGTGATAGACTGCGAAGATTTGACCTAATGAGAGATAGAAAGGAGAGGTCATTTACACACAATCTCAATGGAACTTCTAGGCCACACGGCTAATCAGGTCATAATTTTGTTCAGTTTCTAAGAATAAGAACATCTCTGAAAAACTACAGCTTTGTAACTGGCAGAAGTTTGAGAAAAGAAGATAACTTCATAATTGCTGATTCACTGCCCACCTGTCTCTCAGGCACACCAGCACATTCGATCCTCACCACAACCCCATGAAATGGGCAGCAGAAATGTTTTCTCCCTTTTAGAAATGAAGGCACTAAATCTTGGAAAGTCCAAGTGACTCACTCAAGGTCATATATTTAGAGGTCAAGTCAAATTTTAATCCGTGTCTTCTGATGCGGGCTCCTTTCTACTCCTCTGCTGTAACATTCACTTAGGGTTAGATGAGACCCAAATACCATCTCCACCAATGTGGGGTAAACTTCTCTGTGACTCTGTGATCCCATCCTCCCATTTTTAACCCAGGCTGTTAGCATTATTATTTGTGAATAGGAACAAGTATAGAAAGGAATTTAAAACTGTGCCAGTTATTCATAGGGTGGAATAATTTTTGTGGTTTAAAATTTTAAAATGAATTATAACATCAGATTTCGCTTTTGATAGTGCACTATAATTAATATGTAACTATTAAAAATGGAGAAATGGAGTCAGAGTTACATAGGACTTCTTTGCAATTTTTTCCTTCTTCATGTGAATCTGCACTTACTTCAAATAAAAAGGGGGGAATTGAATGAGCATAGAGGATTTTGTAGACTATAAGAAAAACAATACAAATTTTTAAAGATAAAACAAAAAGCTATCTCCGCATTGATTTCCATAGTGATTGTACCAGTCTGCACTCCCACCAACAATGGAGAAGGGTTCCTTTCTCCCCACAACCCCGCCAACATTTGTTATTGTTTGATTTCTTGATAGCAGCCATTCTTTGTGGGGTGAGGTGGAATCTCAGTATTGTTTTCATCTGTACCTCTTGAATGACCAGTGATGTGGAACATTTTTTCATATATTTACTTGCTGCTTTTACTTCTTTGTCTGAGAAATGTCTGTTCATTTCAGATGCCCAATTTTGAATCAGGTCTTTATATTTGGGGGGCTGATTGTTTTGAGTTCTTTATTTATTCTAGATAAGAGCCCTTTGAGGAGCAGCTGGTAAAATTTTTTTCCCACATTGTAGGTCATCTCTTAGTTCTGTTGATGGTTTCTTTTGCAGTGCAGAAGCTTTTTAATAAGATGAGATCCCAGTTGTTGATTCTTTCTGCTAGTTCCTGTGTTACTGAGGATTTGTTCAGAAAGTCTTCTCCTAAACCAATGTCTTCAAGAGTTCTGCCTAACTTACCTTCCAGCAAGTTTATACAGATACCTCTAAGAGCTTCGACTAGAGGTTCCATTTGACCCAGCCATCCCTCTTCTGGGTATCTTTCCAAAAGAATTAAAAGAACCATATCACAGTGATGTATGTACACCTATGTTTATAGCAGCACAGTTTGTAATAGCTAAAACTTTGAAACAGCCCATTTGCCCATCATTTGGAAACTGGATAAAGAAGATGTGATTTTTCTATGAAATGGAATACTACTTAACCATAAAGAATGAGAAATTAAAGGGTAAAAAGGGAAAAGAAAAAAATGTGAGATAATGAAAAGATGGAAATAAAGTGGTTGTAGAAGTCATGTAAAGGTACAAGATCCCAACAATGAATGTAACTGTACTGCATCCCTAAAATGTACCAATAAACTCAATGAGGAAAAAAAGATAAAACAAAACAAAAAGAGCTTTCATGTTTGAGCTGTTTGTTTGTTTGTTTGTTTTCACAGTGATTGTAGTAGTTTCCCTATCAGGCTCTTTGAATTCCTTGGCTTTAGGTCATAATTAAACTGAAATTTCTTATGCTGCCTCTCACAGGGTCTGACACACAGTATGGCCTACTACATTTAAGGTTATTTTTTCTTTTCTTTTTTTTTTTGGTACCAGGGATTGAACTCAGGTCCTTGTGCTTGTGAGGCAGGCAGCAGAATCACTGAGCTAAATCCCTGGCCCTAAGGTTATTTTTTCTAAACAATAATGATTATATTAATTATGTTATTATTAAAATTGGCACGAGAACAAAAGTGTAGAGCCATGTATGAGTGGCATTAGCAGAAAGGGAGAAAACATAAATGGCAGTGGCGTTTGCAACCAAACTGGAAGTGACTGCCAGAAATCAGCAGAGGTGTCTAGAAGACACATATTCAAATGACAACTGCATGACCTCTTTAACCTTAAGGGTCTTAGCCATGTTGAAGAAATATGCAACTAATGACATATGACAGACTGGGGAACTGGGAAATGAGAGGTTGATAAAACAGTAGAGATAAAAGTTTTTGTATCTGGGGAAGAGCAAAACAGGTAGTGATGGATTGCAAGTTGAAGCCAGCCTGGGAAATTGAGTGAGACCCGGTCTTTAAAAAAAAAAAAAAGAAGCCGGGCATGGTGGTGCACACCTGTAATCCCAACAATTGGGAGACTGAGGCAGGAGGATTGCTGTGAATTCAAGACCAGCCTGGGCTACACAGTGAGTTCTAGGTCAGTCTCCACTACATTAGTGAGACCCTGTCTCAAAAAAACAAAATAAATAAATAAATAAATAATAAAAAGGTTGTAGATATTACTTAGTAGTAAAGCACTTACCTAGCATGCATGAGGCCCTGGGTTCTATCATCAGTACCACAAAAACAAACAAAATGCCAAACAAGGACAACAAAACCAACAACAAAAACTTCACAGAGACCTTAACTGTCAATTCTTCCTAGGGATGAGACCTCTGCTAAGTGACTAGTGGGAGGGAGCCTGGCCCTATGCTGAACATTCCCCAGAATGAAGTTGCTAGGGTTGAGCTGAAACTCTACAGTCCCGGACACTGGAGATAGTAGCATTAAAAGCTATTCCTTTGTGATAAGATTTTCCTCCTGGGAACACTATTTCTTGCTGATAATGGATCTAAGGTACTACACTATGAACAGAATGAACAAAAAAGTGGGCTTTATGTTCAACACAGATAGCTTTAGTTCACGAGACATTTATCATGGTAAACGTTTCTGCAGCCTCCTAACTATCCCAAATTGTTAGGGAGCCATATCTCGGCACCATCACATTCCCTTCTTTTCCCTAAATATCTCTGCTTCCAGCAGTGCTCAGAGACAGACCAAAGTTCTCCAATCCTTCCTAGATTAGAAATTGTTTAAAATGTCCCATCCCAGGCTTATCTGTTCTGCAAATGAGGTGAGGATTTTTTCTCACATTTCACCTTAACCCCTACTAGATTCTAGTTAGCCAATTAGACCTAGCTAAAAATATAGTAATTATCAATATCCACTATCTCTTTGGTAAATATGTGTTTTACTCTAAAACTCTAAGTGGGCTTTTTCCTCCATCCCAGGCCTTCATCTTATCCTTCAGAGATGAAACAGAACTGAGTAGATGCAAGTGTGGGATAGTGGGAAAAATGTGATTTGGGGCAGACAGGTTGAGTCGATTCCTAACTGTGTCTCTTCCTTAAAGTGTGCCTTTGGGAAAATAATTGAACCTATTTGAGCCTCAGTTAACTCAACTGTGTAATGGTATAATACCTACCTTGTTGGATTGGTGTGAAATTTAAATGAGATTACATTTGTAAAGCAGCCAGCATAGTGCCTGGAGACAAGACATATACATAAATATTATAATACAATACAGTATGTGTTAAGGGCCACATAGGTGTTATGGATGAAGTACAGAGGAGAGGGGCTAGGGATGGTCAGTTAAAGTCCATGGAGTGGGTATGGTCAAGACAAACTTTGAGAGACGAGATGAGGAATGAGCCCAGCTCAAACAAAAGAAATAGAATGGCAGAGTGCAAATAACAATGGCAAAGTGGACCATCTGTTTGCAGAAAAACTGGAAGGAAGAGTGGGAACTAAGACTCAAAAGGTAACACCGAGAAAGCTGGATCGCCCAGCACTTCTTGGAGAGCCACTGAATATTTCTGAGAAGGGAAATGACAAACTCATAGAGGGATTGGGCACCAGGAGACAGTATGAGACCTCTGGAAAGCAAATACAAATCCAGAATAATGAGCAACTGGACAGGAAATCTGTGGACAGGGAGGTGGTGAAATCTAAAGTGAGATTGCCATTGCAAAAGGGTAGGGAACAAATACAAGTTTCGCCTACTTCACGATTTTGCTTGGGGACAGTCCCGCCTGTGAGTACCTTTGGTAAGAGGAGACAAGCGACAGTGTTGGGTCATATGCACTTGAAACATGGTTTGAAACACAAGGCAAGGGTTAAACAAAGGGCTCTTTTTGTTTTGAAACCTAACTGTTGGCTAAATATCATAGCACAGTAACTATACTTGGCTACCCCTGGTTTTCACGTCAGCTGTAACAGATTGCTGAGTTAGAATTCTAATATGGTATTAATGCAGATTTTGCATTCAATTTCCTTTTGTCTTTTCCCAGA